AGGAATCCCTCTCTACCCTGGGCTCCCTGTGTTGAGGCTTGGGGCAACACCATGGAGAGTCTTGGAAGCCCTGTTGAATGGGGAGGGCCTTAAGGGACGTCATGAGGATAGTGGGCCTTCTGTCTGTCCGAACATTTCCATAATCCATGGTCGTGGAGTTGAAGGCTCATCCTGGATCTGATCTGTGGCCCGACTGCTTTCTTTATTTGAGCGTTGTTTGTCATTTTCAGAGGCTGAGAATCAGAAATAGTTTTATTTTCAAACCCAGCAGGTCCTAGTGCCTTATTGAGTGATGTGTTCTTTAATTCATCTCTCTTCTGCTGCATTTCATCACTGGCGGTGACAAGAAGCCCGTGGGCACTTTTTGTTTGCTTTGTATTTAAAGTCTGTTCATTTCTTCCATGAGAGAGGGAGAGAGAGAAAGGAAGAGACAGTCCCCCAGCAAGGCCCTGACACCGTGACCCACGCCGTCTCACGGGCCTGCGTGTGCCTGGCGTACTCAGAGGTCTGCAGATGTGTACCCGGAGCCCTCCGTGTGGTTTGGCCCCTGCGGCGTGTCCTGACTTACTGCTCGGCTGCTGTCCCACCCCACCCAGCGGTCATGTCTGTATTCAGCTGGGAAGCTCCTTGACCACGCTGTGTTCTGGGGAGGAAGAGCAGTCCCGACTGACCCGCATGTGGGACCAGTACCGTGGTGGAGATGGGCTCAGCAAGCAGGCTGAGACCAGGGCATGCAGGGCTCTGGGCCGTGGCTGAGGGCAAGGCTTCAGGAAGTCATTACAGCTCTGCCAGCAGGCTGGGCCAGGACCGGGGCCAGGACCGAGGCCAGGCTCTCGGACGGCCGATCTGGCTGTGCTGCTCATGGCGGGATGGAGCTGGTGTGTCTGGGGCTGGACAAGGGCTTCCTCAGGACGCTGGCAATGAAGGGGGAAGAGAAGAGGCGTGTGGAAAACCTCCAAGGAGGCCGTAGCTGTCCCCTGGAGAGCGGTGGTGCCATAGGTGGCGCCCTCGGGGCCCGGAATGGCCCTACCCCTTCGGTGCTCTCAGACCCACTGGCATTGCAGTCTTCACGTGGAATGGGCTGCTGTGCAGTCAGTTCCCAGTAGCCAGGTGAAGCTGGCTCTCCGAGGCCTGGCTCCAACTGTCGCCGCCGGCACCGGGGGCCCAGGCTTGCCCTGTGCAGACCTGGCCCCATCATCTGCCTGTGGAACGCCCCCTCGGTTGCTGCCTTCCCCGAGCCATGCGCGGTGCCCAGCGCTCAGGAGACAGTCAATGAAAGCAGCTAGTTTTAAAAATGGGCTCTTACTGGTGGGTCGCCCTTTTCTAGCATTCATTATTTCCATACTTTCCTTGTATCAGGGTTTTTGTCACTGTCCTGACTCCGGGGGGAACTCGGGTTCGAATCCCAGGCCTTTGTCATCCGCCCCTCTGGGTGAGGAGCTTCCTGGTGTACAATGCCCGGGGTGGACCCGCCTGCACACCGCAGTCCACAGCGTCCCCGTGGTTGGTGGGCCTCCAGCTCCCCTTCCTAGTCATCTGGACCTGGGAATATGGAAGCTAGACAAACGTGGCCCTGCGTTCTGGCACAAGATGAAGGCCAGTGCTAAGCAGGTCATAAAAGCTGTGAAGAAACTTTTAAAAGAGCATTACAGGCAGGGCACTGAGCCGGTTCAGATGCCAGAGGCAGCTCCGCGCTTAATGAGCCTCTGGCTGGGATCCCGGTAACCGGCGAGGTGGGGCTTTGCTATTTCTTCTCTGGTCCGGCTTGGCAGCGCCCTCCCTCCGATCGTCCTGCTGTCGTTCACACATGTCATAGGCACTCCGAATCCACGTGCCCTCCAAAGAGTCTGCTCTCTGCGCACTGAAATCCTCTGGGGAGGTTAAAGAGCTGGTATCCAGCCCCACCCTGCCCTGCCTGGAGCCCCTGGGGGTCAGCCTGCCTGTGGGAACCTTGAAAGATTTGCAGGTCTTTTTATTTTTTTAAATTTACTTATTTAATTCCATTTCTTCTTCTTATTATTATTTAATTTAACCAAACAGAGAGAGAGAGAGAGAGAGAGAGAGAGAGAGAGAGAAAGAGAGAGAGACAGTCAGTGAGAGAGCAAGCCACCCGATCCAGGACTTGAACCACAGTTGGCCATGTGAGAATCCAGTGCCTTTAACCACCATGCCTATGTTCTGTGAAGGCCAGACCTCTGCGCCAGCGAGGGGCGGGCTGCCTGTTCGCCCAGTTCCTTCCTGGTGGGTGAGTGCAGACAGACCCTCGGTGCTGCGCTGGGCTTTATTCTTCATTGTTTTATTTCATTATGACAGGGTATGGTGACAGGCAGAGTGGCAGAGTGACAGTGGGGAGAGAGGCGTTTTAAACAGAGTCTCGC